TACTCCTCTCTCATCTCGGTGGATACTGGATACTCAGAGATCCGATTCTGAAGTTTCCCTAGTGCATGACCTGCCAACCACTTCCAGGCTGCGACCCAAACTCCCTGCCGTTCATTGAATTTCGCACTGAAATCGGCTTCGCTGATACAAATCGCTGCACAGACGGACCGTGGTTTTTCAAACTCCACGCTTCCATGCTGCGTGATGCTTACTCCACCGAGTGCCTTAATGGCGTCGATGCCAAGCAACAGGTCGAAATCCAGTGGCTTCCCTCGCATAACCAGCACATCGATTGTAGCAGTATTACCAGTTGCTGTGCAAATTCTGACGGTGCCCCTTCCACAGCGAGCCTGCGTGGCTCCGGTTAAGGTAGATACCGCCATACCCTGCTTCGACCAAGACCGACATAAACTCGCGTTCAAGATTGACCATGAGCACCCTGAGTCAAGGAGAGCCGAGCATGGTGTGCCGTCAACACACACAGTAATGATGGGTAGCACCGAGTTTACTTGCTGTTTGGGGAGTGGACCAGCGCTGAAGTCTCGTCCCCGCCTCCGTTTCCCGGACAATTTTTGGCCAGATGACCGGTCTTGTTGCATCGATAGCAACGTGCGTTAGTTGCCCTTCGCCTCTTCATGCAGTCCCTCGCGAAGTGATTGGGCCCATTACATTCATAGCATGTGACAAGTGGGCCCATGTCTGGGGAAGAACGGGGAATCTGGGAGGGCTGCACCGCAGCGACGACTGGTTCCCTCTCTGCTGTCTCGTCCTTTATGATTGCCTGAGCTCGGGCCAATAGCTCCTCGAGAGACATATCATCCGCCCTGGCCAAGGACCGCAGGAGCCTTTTCACAGGATCAGGTAGCCCCCGCATGAACACGCATGCCATCGCACTGTCTGGCACTCCTCCAAAAAGGACGGAGAGCTTCCGTAGATCAGCCAAATATACATCTACGGTCTCACCTGGACGTAATATACGTGCCTCGAATTGTTCGTATGCCGTGAATTTATCAGGGGCAAATGCTGTCATCAATGCTCCCTTGATTCGAGCCACGTCCAATTTCTCTTCCGTAGATAGTTGCTGGTAAACCGCGAATGCTCCCCTGGTTAAGCGAAGGGGGATGACACGATCAAGCCGCTTCACTCTCGATAGGTCGCACACCAATTCCAATTTCTCGAGCCATTCAACCACAGATCCAGTCCCGTCAAACTCGGGAATTATCTTTAAATCAAACCGACCGTCCATGTTCGCCGAAATAGCTTGTCGTATGTCCAGAAGTCGCTTTCTGTCTGCAATCCGTCTAGTCTCGCCGAAGCCTAGAAAAGCAGTGGCCTCCCACGTCCACTCGCCGGGTTTTTAATCGGTAGCGTGGTTCTCTTATGCAAATAAGTCTGCTGCATAAAAATGGCAGTAGGGCGACTGCGCGACCGACTCTCAGAGAATGGTTCGACACGTGAGGCAACGAATTTGCTTTTGCTCCTGGTAAGTCACTGTCACTCCTATTACATTTTCATAATGAATAAACAAAATTTTTAAAAAAATACATATGGAAAAAAGGCACAGTTAAAAGTTAGGCAGGAAAAATGTTGTTATATTCCATGCTAACAGGAATATATACTTCAAAAACATGGTGGATAAAATAAGTGAAGGTTTAATGTAAAAACCAATACAATAAGAATAAAGGTAACAGTTATGCACAAGGTCATCACAAGTCAATCCAGTAGTGAGTGCTACTATTGGAAGGTCGGTAGCTCTCGCGTAAGTCTGAGTTGTACTCAACAGATCCCAGCTAGTATATTTAGCTACCTCCTCCACTAGGGTTGCATGTGGCACAAGGCCAGTTTAATGTGGGTTCTCCGAGCCCATAGGCTCGGCCAAAAATATCCCCTTTTTGAACACGCATAAACGGGTTCAGGGGCAGTCTACCTCCCTGGACGAGACTCTGCCCTTCGGCGGAGCCTTCTCTGGGTTCCTCTCTGCCGGAAGGCAGAATGTTCAACTGTTTTAGCTGGAACAGATCTCAGCTAGTCTAGATACTTATAAGTTGTTACTACCTATAGTGTAGTCACTCATGGGGGTGACAGGTTATTTCATTACATCAAATGTGTACTTCTTAGTAATTACAATGGACTTGTATTGTACATATTACTGGCAGTAAATACTAAATGTAAATGCAGAATGTTATATTTGAATTTTTTATTTATTTTCTTTTAATTTTAAGTAATTGGTTGATATTTTTAAATAGTTTACTGCACAATTTATAGATTAACAGATTGTTTCAAAGGACAAGGGAGCATTGAATGCAATCCACTATATTAAGAGCAATCATTTGTGTTCACGAGATGATTGTGTGATTTTGCCAATAATTACTTCTGCATTCAATTCATCTTTTTCAATGGATAGCAACATGTATGATCTCAAATTTTCTCGAGTGTATTTTTTAACCTTGTCTTTATGATTTTTAACTTTGAAAATGTCTTCTCACACTGGATTTTTGTAGCTGATAGTGTTCAAATGACTTTCTTATTCCTTTTTATTGCTAAAACAGTTGTCTGTGTTTGTTTCTTTATTGTATTGTTATTTGATATCGAGGACCCACACCATCAGGGGTCCATTTGCCATTGGGCAAGTTGACACTCTGACCAATTCATCACTTCTCACCATCAATGCAAAAGAACCATTTTACTCTCATTACAACCATTTTGAAACTCTTACCCAGTGTATACAAGTACATCAGCTAGTAATTTACAGTTTGTATTCAAGAGCTATAAGTCACAAATATGTTTAGAGAAAAACAAACTTATATGAATACAGCCACAAGCATATAATCATATAAATACAACTGAATAATACAGAACAATTTATAAAGAAAACCTTGGAAAAGAAAAAATGATTAGTAAATGGTAATCCAGCTAAATTCTTTTGAAAAATATCAATTTCTTTCTTCTGTTTTGTTTTTTTTTAGTTTTGAATCTACAACTATCAGCAAGTCCTAAAAAAATGTAAAAAAAAAAAAAAAGACCAATATTTCTTTCTGGCAAGACTTAGCTTCTTTAGATATAACCTTCTTTGAGTCTTTTATTTAGCTATTGTGTATTCCATGAATAAAAAAGATATGAAAGTCCGTGAAAAATTCATAGAACCACGGGATAATGGAACAGTTTCACAGAACAATAAATATAAGAACATCAACAAAAGGAAAGATTCTATTTTCTGATGTAATGTAATACAATTTGATACCAAAAACTTTCTATAGTACAAGTAGTTTTTCTCATAGTCATGGTCAGGGTTGCTAAAAGATGATAGCTGAATGACTAACCAAAACTGTTGGAATCTGTATTGAATTTATCATGAGGATGTTTATAAATTATTTAATGATTATTATTAGAAATAATAGAGCATATATATATATATATATATATATATATATATATATATATATATATGTGTGTGTGTGTGTGTGTGTGTGTGTGTGTATGAGATAAAAACCAGATCATGGAATAGTTACAGGTATCTCCATCAAAATTCAACTTTTGAAAATAATAGAACTTCACTCTAGTTACTCTAAATATTTTGAATGACTTCTTTTCCATTTTCAACTTCTTTTTCTTATATTTTTTTTATGTGTATTGGATATATAAAATAACCATATTTTTTTTTGTATGTATGTATGTATGTATATATATATATATATAAACACTTTTGACTTATTAACTTCACCTAATTCATATTGGCCTCTGTCAAGGTTGAGTATGAGAGTAGCAGATTTTTTCTGCTACTGTAGGTCTCTTATAGAAGATCAATTTGCCTAAACATTCACTTCTTTTTCAGCTATCATGGCATATCAGAGATGACATGATTTTTAACTATATCTGGTAATGATAGAGATTCTTGGTAGAAATGGATTCATGCCTTTCCCAAGTAAATTTCAGCTAAAATTCAAACTTGGTTTGCTGATTTTGTTTTTCTAAAATGGTTAATGACAGTGAAAATGGAATCAGTGAATTAAGTTCAAACTTTAGCTTGGACAGTTTGCATCTACTTTGTACTTATGCCTTTGGGGAAGGCATGAATATGTTTCTCTCTCTAGCTATGAATAGGACATTTGGAACCCTTTAGACGCTTCATATTGAGTGTCAGGTTAAAATCCTGGCCTATAAAAATTCACTTAATACTGAAACCCCATCATCATCATCAATAGACTATGGCTCCATGATTCACAAGGAGTGTTACAGGTCTGTTATCAAAGTCTGCTCTCTGAAAATAATACACGCTTCCTGAGAATAATGTGAAGTTTAGTGTGCAAATTCTTACTCACAGGACCCCTGACTTAAAGACCATCCCTGCCAACTGAAAATGCTCTGTTACTAGGCCCAAGTCTGCAGAAATAAGAAATCGTTAGATCACCCACACTGCGACTGACTTCGATATAGATAATATTAGGTAGAAATATGCTTACCAAAATACCTGCCAAGTTACTTTTATACCTACAGAACTATTTATGTTTTGTACCCACCTTCATACACTGAGGTTTAAGTGGGTGAAGAAAAATTCTTGGCCTGACCAACTTTCTAATATCAGATCAAATGGACAACAATCTGATTTTTTTTTTCTTTTTTGGAAGGACTTGAGTTGAGAATCTTCTTGTTTCAATAAATCTGATAGCTCACTGTCAATACAAAGTCTTGAACTCTTACCCAGAGATACACAGGTAGTTCAGCTAGTAAATTATAATTTATATGTAAGACCTGTCATAAATATGATTGATTAATTCATTCATTTTCTACAGCTTATCAACAATTTTTTTTTTTAAATAATCATAATCTAGTCATACAAGACTTATTAATTAATCCATATCTGATGGGAGAAAAAGTGGATTCATACCTTTCCCAAGGGTATTTGTATGTAAATGAATATAATGAACACAACTGGAATTGGAACTCTCTGATCAATAATTCTGAGCCATTATCCATTAAACCACTTGCACATCAAAGCTTTTAGCACCTGGTATTCCCAAGTGGTCACACATCTTAGTACTGATTAGGCTCAATGTTAAGTAACTTTGGTGATCCTATGGGAACAGGTGTTTCAATGTGAGGTGGTCATAAGCCCTGGCGTAAATAACCTTAAAGCCTATCTAGTAATGATTCTTCAGACTCTTCTGATAACATTAACTCAGGTAAGTATTTTTTGTGTTGCTTTATCAGAAAGTAAAATGTATTTTTTGTTTTTACTCTTGGTTCACCCAATACAAGACCCAAGGGCCACTCAAGGAAGGGGATTACTGAGTATGATTGTTGTAAGAAAGGGGGAAGTAAGTGAGTATATTGAAGATGACTAGTTGACCCTAGACTTAAAAAGACCAGCATTGTAGTTTTAAGGGAAGCATTCTCTTGGGTGTTTGTTCTACAAAGTAACAGTTCTGGAGAAGAAGCTAGAGTCAAATTAGTGAAGGTTTGAACTGGGGCAATTAAGGAACGTAACTCATCCTAACATATGCCTTAGTAATAGTAATAGCAATAGCGTAGTGAGAGGTTAGTAATGTTTCATCTATGAAATAAGGGTTGCAGTGTGAAGAATAATTCATCACCCACAAGACTGCATATTTGCTTTTAAACTCTGTCAAGCCTGGGAAGTGAAGATTGGGCAGCACCAGCCCAGATATAGCAGTTATATTCTATTCTTGGTCTGATTTGACTCTTGTAAAGATAGATCATGGCAGCAGGAGTCTGGTATTTTCTGGTGTAGTCAAGGAATGGAACTTTCTTCAAGCATCTTTTGTGACATACACTTTCCACTTGAGGTCAGGAGTGAGCATTACACCCTGTAGGCATTCAAGGCAACGAGACTCTTTATGTTTAGTGCCTGCTCAGTAGTAAATTTTATGACTTTAGTTTTGAATGTATTGTATGATATCAGCCAATCTTTTCCCCATTGAGCTGTAAGAGTAAGATCAGAGGAAAGATCTGCTACTAGATACTGGTCATCAAGATATTTGGTGGTGAATCCAGACACTATGGTCTCATGTGCATATATATTTACTCTAAAGGCCAAAAGTAATGAAGTTGAACTGAGTAAAACAACAAGTTAGAATAATTTAGTTTGATAATTTTTTACAAAGTTATTGAAGACTAAAGAGAAAGGTGATCTTTTATCAGCCAAACAACCAAATATACACTACACCCATCCCCTTACTCTAGTACATCTCAATTTTCATATGAAATACAAATTTTATTGTAACCTATTTATGTACAATAATGGATCATATGCAATATAGGTTAACAATTCAAAAAGGAAAATTAAAAATAAATACAATGTACTTAAATACAAATTAGAGACATGTCATAATAGATCATTCCATTTTAAATAATTCAACAATGTTTTGCATCAATTTTTAACATCAACTTGAGATTTTTCTTGTTAAAAGTTGAAGAAGTTTTACACATTTGACATTATGGATAAAAAATAGTGAATTCTGTTTTTTTTAGATTTAGTATAGATAGAATAAATTCATGGATTTGGATGAAAAAAGAAGTCAGAATGACATAAAAATCTATGAAAATCTTTTATTCTTTAGTAGTCAGATTAATTTGTAACATATATAAATGTAGATAGAAAAAGCAAATGCTGATAAGAGAGCAAGAGTCACAAAGCACTTTCCAGGGCCCTCAATCATGTTTACAACCCTAGTCAGGGATTTGGGAGTAGTTTGGGCCCTGATTAGCAAGAAAAGTGGGAACTTGAAACTGGAATCATCAGAATCAAGCAGGTAGAGAAGTTTAACTATGTCAGTAAGTAGTAACAGACAACAGAAAGTGTGACACAGAGATCCAAAGGCATGTCATAATAGGGAAAGAAGCCTTTCAGGAACTAAGCAAAGTATTAAGAGATAGGAATATTTTATTAGAAGCAAAAAAAAGTGGTGAATATTATATCTGTCCTTCAATATGCCAGTGAATGCTGAAAACTTATTTTAGGAGACACAAAGCAACAGTTGTGGTTTTACAGATGGATACTGAAAATACCACAAACACAGCACATGAACAACAAATAAGTTTAAAGAAAATGGGAATTAGAAATCAGAAAGTGATAGGTGAAATTTTTGGGACACATAAGTCTCAAGATTCAAGTTACTTTCTCACTGATGTATCTGTTGTGACCTAGGCAAGGTTACTGAATAGAATAATCAAATGAAGGTTGGTAATGAATGATAATACTTAAGACAAGAAAAACACATATAAGATTCACCAGCAGCATATAGAAGTAGTAGTCAACTGCTAGAAGTGAGTCAACTGAATTCCACAATGAATCTCCAACTGCATACCAACATACAGCATTTACTACTGTATTTATGTGAATGAGGACATACCCATTATCGTCTACAACAGTATCCACCTGTCTTTTCTACAAATATTTTCATGGCAATTCTTCTGATGAGCTTTTTCCCTAGTGCCTTGACTACATGTTTTTAAATGTACTACTAGACTGGCAACTAGGTCTCATTGTTTTCCTGTTGAGCTAGCTAGATGCAACCACCACTTCTATTTGAACTTTTTCTTTTATCGCACTTCTCCCCTATGAAACTTCCTTCTGATTTCTTACTTTGCTGACACCTACAATTTTTCAAAATTAAATGGAACTTCAATCTCCATCTTCTGTCTTCTTGAATCATCTTCATATATTGTCTATTTCCTCACTTCTCACTAAAGTCTTTTCATTATCTTTCACTTTCTGTAATCACCTGTGTTTTAGTGGCATTGTTACCATTCTTGGTGTAAAATAATTTAAGAAAAAAAAAAGTGAAGATGGTTTGGAAAGTTAAATCCTCACAAGATGCATTGAGGGAAGGATGGGGGTTCAAGGGACACTGCAAGAGGAGGGGTAGAGAGTCAAATGTTGTTTTGAACTACAAAGGATAAGAAGTTGTGGAGAACCTTGATCACAGGTGTCCTGAAAGAGCATAGCATATAAATGATGCTTTTTTAAATGCTTCAGTTAAACTTACAAATATCTAGTAAGTAATTTGTTAACATTCAAAAAAGCATTATTTTTTTAATCTCTTCCCTGCCAATTATTTTGGGGAAAATGTTTCATTTTTCAGACAAATTTTTTTATTTGTTTTTAATATAGTAACTAAGAAACTAAGGCACCTTGAAGTATCCAAGTGGTGACTAACACCTCTACTAGACATATGAGTTGACATCTGGACTCAAATGAGCTCAGAAGAACATGAAAAAAATCAAGATCAACGTATAAACACATCTGTAGCTGGTTTTTGAATGTTATGTTTTGGATGTTTATTTGTCCATGTCTGAAAAAAACACCTTTGGTAAAACGTTTATGCACTTCTATGCTAGAGAAGGGGTTAAATCATTTGCAAAGTTTAGGTAAAAAAAAAAATTTACAAATTATAGAAACTGATGATCATTTCTGGTTCATACAGATGTCAATGTGCCATACATGCAAACTTAGGCATAAAATTTGTTGCTCATGGTCCTGTGCTTTTTTTTCACTTCAGATTCAGCAAACTTTTAAGTTGAAATGTTATGAATGTCTCATAAAACTGTTCTGTCTGCAAAAGTTTGCTTGTGCCATTTTACTTGATTTGATTCCAAGCTAGTAAACATCTGAAAACCAAAGTTTGAATCAGTTATAAAATCAGCTGCATGCAATAAAGAAGTCACTTATCAATCATGGAAATAGTTAAATCTCAGTTATTGCCACTTAGAGCATTGAAATAAATCAATAAATGAAAATATAGCTTTGGTGGCTGGGATTTCCTATTAATAGCTAAAAATTCCCTTCTTGTATCCTTTTTTTTTTAATTATAATTCTGTATGTCCTTTCCTTCTTTAGTTCTTTTTTTTATTATAATTCTGCATATCCTTTCCTTCCTTAGTCCTTTTTGATTATAATTCTGTATGTCCTTTCCTTCTTTAGTTCTTTTTTTTATTATAATTCTGCATATCCTTTCCTTCCTTAGTCCTTTTTGATTATAATTCTGTATGTCCTTTCCTTCTTTAGTTCTTTTTTTTATTATAATTCTGCATATCCTTTCCTTCCTTAGTCCCTTTTGATTATAATTCTGTATGTCCTTTCCTTCTTTAGTTCTTTTTTTTATTATAATTCTGCATATCCTTTCCTTCCTTAGTCCTTTTTGGTTATAATTCTGTATGTCCTTTCCTTCTTTAGTTCTTTTTTTTATTATAATTCTGCATATCCTTTCCTTCCTTAGTCCTTTTTGATTATAATTCTGTATGTCCTTTCCTTCTTTAGTTGTAACATATGAAAATACCTCATAAATTATGTACTGTTCTATTTTCATCACATGGTAAGATGGAAAAGGCATATCAAAGACACTGTTTGATTTCAACGAGAAAAAAGAAAGGAAGGAAACAAAATTCAAACAGGAAAGCCATAAAATTATCATGGGTACTACTTGTCTTATTACAATTCTCTTTGTTCCTCCCTATGTTACTTAGATGACACCTACCTACCAGGTGTAATAGCAAAATTGTCCAAATCACAACAGCAAGAGGGATCATCATTTGAACTTAGAATTAAAGAGATCAATTAAAAAAGATCCAACTCAATTCATAAGGCATTTGGTACATGAGAGAGGAGTTTCAGCAATGACTGTACAAAGAGCAGTGAAAAAAAGATTTGCAAATAGAATTGTACATAGAGTAATTATATATTCTTATTGCTCAAAGTAGAATCCATATTGTTATAAAGACCTCAGAGAATTTCAGTAAGAAATATTTAATCATTTCTAAGATACAATGGTTCAAAGCTTAATCTAACAATTGGACAATTTTGTTTTTACATCCGGTATATATCTTATGCTCTGCCAAAACATCATAAATAATGAACTGTTTCATTTTGATCATGTGGAAAAATAGAAAAAGACATATCAGAGATGCTACTTGGTTTCAGTGAGAAATTGAAAGAAAGAAAGGACATAAGATAGAAGTAGTTAATATCTGTTTCAGTAAAATGGAAAAAGTTGTCAATTTGAAATCTTTTCATTTGTACCCACTTTTTAAAATAATGACCAGCACTTATATTTACAATTGTTTTTGCAATATTTTGTT